GGTGGTGCAGTGTTCCTGGCGACAGTGGCAGCACTGAGCCTCCCTGCCCCATTCTGCCCTCTTGCACTGGGTCCCACTCACCAGGCTGTGGAGGCGGCTCCTGCCTGATGCTTGTCCAACCAGGCTGCAGCCTTGTGCCCCACTGTGGGTGCAGAAATCTGGGGGGGACATGTGCCCCCCCATGCCCTCCCAACAAATCACCTATGGCATTGCCTATGCCCACCCCCCCCACCCCACACACACCCTCTGCCCCACACATGGGGGGGCCTGGAGGCTGAGGGCAGCAAGTCAGGAGTAAAGGTCACTGGCAGGGACAGGGGGCTGTGGGTTGGGAATGAGGGGCACCAGCAGGGCTGGGAGGGGTTGGAGGATGTGGATCAGGAGTGAGGGGCATGGGCAGGGACACGGCACTGGCGTTTTAGGGATGCTCAGTGCCACAAAGCAGTGGGGAAAACAGCCACAGCTGGACCTGTGTCCTGGTGAGTGAAATGGGCAGGGGGAGCTCTGATTTTTCATGATGAATAAAACAAAATCAAACGCCAAAATAGATAGGTATTTAGAATTTATTTTATTATAATGATTGAGGCACTAGTAGGCTTCCAAACTTGTTTGTAATTGTAACTATATCAATAACACATTGTGTTCAACTGATACCTATGTAGACATTGGCGTTTCATTTTAATCGCAGGAAAACATGGATTTTGGTTTTTTTAATCAGAGAATTTGGGGGTTTTTCAGAGAATCTGGGATTTTTTCTGAGAAAACCAAGGTCCACAGTGATGACTTTTGTTAGTCTTGTTCATCTGAGGTTCTACATTGTAAGATGATCTATTGTTATAGCTTTTTTCCCCTCTAAGAATAACTTGGGCCAAAACTGCAATATTCTTACCACAGTGAATAGCTTCAGTGAAATCAGCCTGATTATTTAAGAATTAAGATACTACTTTACATAAATGAATGCATCTAAAAGCTGACCCCTGTAACTGAAATCTTTCTTTACTAAGATTTTTACTCTACCATTGCATATATGATATACATTGTTCTGTATTGCATGATTTCACTATTTAAAAGAGCAAATGAGAGAAAAAAAAGAAAAGAAATACAAGCTTCAGTATGAACCCTCTTCTCCCAGCAGTATATATTGAGAAAAGAATTGAGAAGAAGAACACAATGGGGAGGGGAGAGATGTAGTGCTGGGAGTGGAGGCTATGCCCTGCTGCCACTTGCCCAGCTGGGGCAGGGGGACGCGTGATGCAGGTGCAGCAGCACTGGGTGAAGGGGCTATACCCTGCTGCCACTTGCCCCCTTCTGCCCGGAGTGAGCTGCACCTGCAATTGCACCTCCCCCACCCCGGCTGGACAAGTGGCAGCATGGCATTGCCCCCGCTTTCAGCGCTGCTGTGCCTGCATCCTGCACCTTCCTGCCCCCCTCCCCGAGTCCTGTACCCCCTGCCCTGGCTGGGCAGCTTGTCCCAGCCCCAATCCCTCCCTCCCCCACACCCCTTCTCTCCCCGCTCTGCGCACCACAACAGACATATCAGCTGGAGGCAGCTGTGTCCAGCGTGGTGAGGACTGCTGCCTGCTTAGTCTATGGCTGAATCTTTGAAGCGGCACCAAATCTTTGGATCCAGTTTGGCCAAATCAAATCAGGACAGTGATTTGAATCTCTGAATTGAATCACTATCCCTCCGAATCGACCAAATCTGAATCCAAAGTTTCAACTTTAATTTTTTTTAAAAAGGGGGTTTACAGTGCTTGTACTTGTGGTGAATGCCTCCAAAACATTAACCCAAAATTAAACAAAAAGAAGTTAACTTTGTTTTTTTTAACTGTCATTTTTGGGGATGTGACACTTGTGGTTTTTGAACATTTGCAGTGGGCAAGAATTCTGGACTGGGTATTATAGATCCATCCAGTTCAGTTAGGTTACTGATGAGGTTAGAATAATATATCCAGGAACAAACATGATGCACAGTTCCTAGGATAAGTTTACAGAGCTGACAACTAAAATGGCATCTTTTTCCTTATAAACCAAGAAAAAATTACCTAAAACTGTAGAGATGCAAGAAACTGATCCTGATTATACAGAGATACTTTCAGAGCATCACTGTTAACGTAGATATTGTTTTCCACCCCCCCCCTTTCTTTTTTTTAGGTAGAGAGATGTGTTCATTAGCAATTTAACCCAGACATCATTGTTGCACTATTTGCTATGCATGGAAAAAGACACCTTAAACTTTTTTTTTTAATGTGCAGGCACATATTTGCATATTTTCCCACTCCCATGGAACCCATTATAGCAGTATAGCTAGGAAGGTGTCTACCTGAACTTTAAGCAAGTTTAACTTTAGATCCTACAAATCCTACTGAGGTGTGCAGCAGAGAATATGGGTTTTATTATGCTACTGCACTGCATAGTGTTAACAAAGTATAAGGCTTATCTCATTAAATATGGAGTCACTACACTGACTTCAGAAGAATTCTCTCTACAGGTGGGTACAAGATTGAATTATGTTGAATTGCCTATACCAAAATTACTGGCAATCATTAAATCAGTTTTTACTTTAGAAAGTACTTCATACATCCTATAAGAAGGAACAGACAGGTTGTGGTGTTTTCAGTTTCTTCAGCATGACAGATTTGTTATTTTAAACTTAGCATTTCATACTTTTTGATATTATTCTTATATAAAATAATTCAATTGACCATTTCACGCATAGACAAAACTGACTGTTTTACACACAGAAAATCATTAAATGCAAGCTAAAATAGTTTTTCAGAGTCATGAAATAATTTAAATGCTAGAAAATGACCGGGTGAACAAAGCATAATGTTAAACAATTTATAAAGATGTTACAAGCACATGTACGCAACAGATCAAAATGAACAGTGCTTATTTAGCAAAAAAACTGAAAACCTTTATATCCTTTTGGGTTTTCTGATAAATTAGTTTCTAGTGAGAATGTATAGGCAAGCAAGAAGGCAACTGCAAATAACACATTTTAACTATACATGCAAAATTACTGTAATTGCATAAAATTCATACAGATTTAAATCTTAAGGTGAAACAATCTCCAATGTCATTCAGCTTTACAAAAGCAAATTTCAAATTCTGCAAATTTGAATAAAAAGAGCCCTCAAGAAAGAAAAAAACAACCTATTTTCTAATAACAGTAGAATTGATAAGCCTGTGAATAACATCAGGCTGGTGAAAAACTGTAAGGAAGAATAAACTTTCAGAAATGTCCACTGCATTCACATTTACCAGCACTGCAGAATATAGGTACAGGCTATAAATGGAGAGATTTTATACAGATGCCAAAAATTTGAAGCCATTGATATCTAACTCAATTCTGCCAAAAACTCTCTTATTTTAAATATTGTAACAGAGTTTTCACTGTAAACACATTAGAACCTACAGTTCTGTAAAAGTGATTATGAAAGAATATATATATTTAACTATATACTTGTAAAATTACAAATGCATAAATCCTGGTTACCAATTGTGGTACCAGTTGTGTGTAAACCATATTTTCTTATTATCTTTTAAATGGTACATTTGCCCTACAGTAACAAAAGACATACCAGTATTTTAGAGAGGAATCTTTTACAAAAGCAATCCTGGAAAATAGATGCAAGAACTAGGCAATCAAAATATACATTTACTAACATATTGCAAATGGATTTTAGTATTGCTGTTCACAACATCTCTGTATAACAATTCACATTTGAAAGTCATGAGAGTGAGAAATAGTGTCTGTAAACCATGAGATTCAGAGCTATATTCATGAAAGTGGCAGAACCTATTCCATAAGTCTTTTTTCTCTCTGCAGTTAGCATTGGCTGTCTTGCCATTGACTCAACAGTATTTAGTGTCTGCTCTTATTGCATAGAGTTTAAGTCTTATAGATTAGGGAAGTCATTCTGATTGTCTTATAGTAGAACTGTTTGAAAGAGTCAGGTTGGACTTCCATTATTTGCATGTAATAAGTCTGCTGAAGCCATTTAGGTTGTCTTTTCATATAAAGAGTAAAATGAAATAAAATAACTATGTCCTGGTCTGGAATTACATAAAACCAGTTTCAGGTAGTATGGTGTATACTTGCTTCTGTCCCCAGAGTGACATTACATTGAAATTGCCAAAGGAAAAAAGATTTGTTGTATCAGTTTTGAATGCAAAGGTGTCTATATTTTTCAGTATATTCTCTATATTTGTTATCCATTTTCCTTCACATTTACTTAAATAAACTTTATTTATGTGCAGCCCTAATTCAGTCTGTAATTATGCAAGCCACTAATGCAAGTCTTGGGTTATTTTCTATTTTTATCCCTCATTACTGTTTTGGAAAAATGATCATTGCCATTTACAATATTTGTATTTTCATTGAGGCAAGGATTCTTTGAGTGATATCTTTTATTGGACCAACTGCATGGTGGAGATAGAGTGAGACAAGTTATATTTTCCTTGTAAGCCAACCTCTTGAAGGCAGTAGTTTAAATTTAAAGCCACAATTTAAGCCCATCAGCTGTGTTTGACAAGTATAACATTAACTGTACATATGCCTATATACTAAGAGAGCAGTAACAGAAAACAAAATGTTATTGCCTGTGTTCTAAGAGAGGTCACATACTTTGCTACCAAATCAAATCAATGACTTGCAAATACTCCTGTGTTTGGAGGAACCTGTATTTTTCCATTCATAGCCATTTTGTTGACCAAAAGTCACTTGAGCTTGTACATTCCTAAGTTATATAACCAATCACTATCCCAGAAATCAGAGGTGAAGGGCTGGGATTACCAAACGTTCCTTTGCATTTTTTCTACTCCTTTTGGTCTAAAGAACACTTGTCCATAAGAACGTGCATGTGTTGCATGTGTAAAAATAAAGACCACAGCTGATCAGAAGTTCCCAGTGGAAAAGAGAGAGCGTGTGTGTGTGGGTCTGCATGTCCAAACTTTGTAATGAAAATATTTCCCATTTGTCATTAATCTCTAACAAAGATCCAGTAACATGAATTGCAGTTAGAGGGGGCAGCAGGGCTCAAAAAGCCCTGGGCACTTAGCATCTGTGAGTCCTACCTAACCTTACATCCACCCCTAGAAGGAATGTCTCCCCTTCACCCAATCCACAAAGAACAGAACATTATTATTTCTACTGCATAAACAATATAGCAAATCAGTAAATGCACAATTCTTTTGTAGAAATTAACATAAAAAAGTTATGTTTAGTGGTAAATTGGTTACATTAACCCAGTCAGATTCCTGATGATTGCTGCCACGTGGGCTGACAGCCATTTTAGCACTCTGTTTCAGTGGAAGCACTCTCTTGCTTAGCATTTTGTTCTTCACTGCCACAGGCAACCACTAGGCTTGATACGCTGCTGGCATGTCCTGGTCTATTTAATTTGTCCTTCATGGACTTGCCTTCCTGTGAATGGCTGTGTAAACTCTTTGACCGTACAGATGGGAATCCACAAGTTCTGTCTGATTTCACAGACAATAAATTTTCCGTCTCAGCCTTGTTGGTAACAGGTGTGGAAGAGTAAGAGGCACTGACACCTGTTTCACCAACATCACTGTCATCTTCCGTATCTGTCAGTATCTGTTTTTGTTCTGCCTGCCTTTCTGCTTCACACACAAAACCAGGATATTCTGGGGGACGCTCCTGAGAGAGTTCCTGTTCAACCTCATATTTCCATTCACTAGCCCACTGTTCAACTGCAGAAGGGCCCACTTGATCCAATACGGTACTATATTCTGTGGTCCAGTTGTTAACCCCTCCAACCAATTTCCCTCCATGGGCAAATATAAAACTCCTAGACTTCATCATGGTTGTTTGATAAGCACTGAAAGTTTCAGGAGTGTAATAGCGCATTTCCTTAGATTTCTCCAAGGGATAAGAGATAGTAGCTTCTAATTTGGTCCTTTCTACAGTTAACTGAGTGTTCTGAAAATTTGGTTTTGGTACTGATTGCCCATTCATAACAATATTTGACTGGTTAATATGTTGAGGAATTGTTTCATCACTCTTGAAAATCCCTTGCTTCACATAAGCAAAACCAGCTGAACCAGAACGGGGTCTAGTAACATTCTTTGCAATTTCTAATGTAGCTTTACCATCATCTGTAGTGGAAACTGCATTAGCACTGGAGGCACAGCGGAGACTACTATGGCGTCCTGGAACCAGTTGCATCTTTGAGCCCACTCCATTTTTCTCTTCTTTTGTACCAATAGAATATGCCTTTTTGCGTAATCCCAAGGCTGGTGACATGGGGGCAGTACTGTCATCACATATTAACTCATCGCCACCAACATGATATCGGTACATGCTGTAGCCATCAGAACTGTTGACACTGCTTTGCCTTAGGAGATAGGCAGTATCACATTCCGAGGAAGCCCGTGAGCGTGTGTGCATCAGTTCAGATTTGTCAATACCTGCCAGCTTTTCAAGAGCATTCACCATCCGACCAGAGAGCTCTTCCAGTTGAGAAAGTCGAAGGTCAACTGTCTGAAGAGAAGCTTTCATAAAATGTTCTCTTTCGTTTACTTCTTCTAACCTCATAGACATATTTTCAACTCTGTTGAGTATAAACATAAGGAATTAATTAACCAGAAATTATAGAATTATTATGCATAGTGGCAGCTTGCAGATGTTAAAAAAATACTCTCTACCAGAAGAAACATCATATTACTTCAACCTGGCTCTGTAGCGTCTGTAAAGATTGGGTGCTTCAGCAGGCTTTTTGGTGTTTTTAGCTAAAACTGATTATTAGGTAAAAGCACCAAAAAAGCCCCACTGTAAAGACATCTGGTGAGCCAAGTTAAGGTAATGTGCTGCCTCTTCTGGGCATGTGCAGGGCTCAGCACAGGAATGTGTCAAGTTTAAAGTAAAGTGCTGTTATTTTATTTATTTTTTTTGCATCTGTAAGCACCCAATATGCCCCTAAAAATGATGGAATTACGTTACAAGTGAATTTTAGTACATCTTGTTCCTAATGTGCAGCCATGTCAAAGGACATATATATTGAATGTACAGTTTTCACTTACAGTGTGAACACGCATCATTTTCGAATGTTTCAAAAATGCAGCTGTACAGATACACAGGTGGGATAAAACACTCCCAAATGTTTTTGCAGCACTCCACCCAGGAGGCATGATAAGGATTATATACATGTTTTCCCTTGGTTGAATTGCTGTATTTTTAAAGCATTTCTAAGCCTGAAACATTTGAAATGGTAAACTTACTTTCATTTTTATGGAAAAAAATTTACTCCTGTGCAAAAAGCAGTACATGATTTATCCATCAACAGTCCCACTTCTGCTTTCAAATAAGGTCTGAATTGGTGCATAAGTTTCACACTGCCCTTTGTACAGGAATTAATTTTCCTAATAAATGTACTGCCCAGCTTATTTCTTTAAGAAACAATTCATTTTTCTAATGCAGAATTTTCTCTGGAAGGCTGATACCTTTTTAAACTCTTAAGAAGTGGATATTAAATGATGCATCATTTACTATCACAAGATTGGAACAGTTAACACATTTCTTTTCAAATTGTTATACCAAATTATTTTCTTGCTAAAACAGGGCTTGGGGAGTAGACAAGGAGGTCAAGCTCCAACCCTACTTCACTGAAAATTTACAAGATGGAGTTTTTGACAGAGATTTATTTTGAAAAAGGAGCTTGTGTTTTCTGGTTCATTGTGTGTTCTGGTTGCAGAAATTTAGCTGTTTCTACTACTGTTTCAGTCCACTATACAATCAGACCTCGATTTACACAGTGGTTATGTCCTTGAAAAAACACTGTGCAAATAGTAATCATGTAAAAAGATACCAAGGGTCTATGTGAAATAAGGATTTAGCTTCCAGGTGCAGCCAATAATTTGGCTGATAGATGCTGGTGTATGTGCACAGCTGCAGTACAGCATGCAGGCAGTGAGAAGCAGAGCCCAGCAGCTCAGAGAGCTGCGTGCAGCTGGTAAGTCTGGTATGGTGGAAGAGGAGGGGAAGGGGCATGGTGGGGCAGATCAATGCCCCCACGGTGAGGGAGGAGTGGGCAGGGGTAGACGCTGTCCAGCCAGGGCGGGGCGGGCACAGGACGGAGCCATGGCTTGTCCGGGGGGCGTGGGGCGGGAGTGGCTCCCACCACTGTGCGCATCCAAGGAGGGTATGGGGAAGGCGTGTGCCCCCAGATCTGCATGGGGTGGGGAGGAGTAGGGCAGGCAGGCTGCAGCTACGGGCTGGAGCTGGGGTTGTGCCAGGCTTTTCTCAGTGGGGGCTGAGCTTGGGGCAGGTGGCAGCAGCACTGGGATGGGGCTGTGAGGGGGCACTGCAGCCACCCCAAATTTCACCATAGCCCCCATCCAGCACCACTTCTGCCTGCCTGGTGCAGCACTGGCTCTTCCCGGTGCATGGGTAGAGGCGGTGGTTGAGCAGGGCTCCGTGCAAGGTGGGCAGTGGCAGCACTGGAAGGGGGTATGGGGGGTGGGGAGGCCACAGTGAAATTTGGAGTGACTGCAGCCCGCCCCCCCCGTAACCCCTGCCCAGCACTGCCACTGCCTACCCTGAGCCCAGCCCCTACTGAGAAAAGCCCAGCACAGCTCCAGTTCTAGCCTGCAGCTGTAGCCTGCCTACCCTGCCCCATGCAGATCCAGGGGGACATGCCCCCCCCCCGTGCCCTCCCAGGGTGAGCGCAGCAGCAGGAGCCCCCCAGCATGTCCCCCAGGTGAGCCACGGCTCTGTCCCATGCCCACCCCACCCCAGCTGGGCGGTGTCTGCCCCTGCCCCACTCCTCCCTCACTGTGGGGGCCTTGATCTGTCCCCCCCATGACCCTTCCCTCCCACTACATTAGACTTACTAGCTGCACACAGCTCCCCAAGATGCCAGGCTCTGCTTCTCGCTGCCCGACTGCACTTCACTGTGTAAAAGTGAATCCATATCATGTACAAAAATAAAGGGTTGCAATTAATTGACCATGCATAACTGAAACTGTGCTAAAAAATACCATGTAAATCAAGGCCTGACTGTACTTCTCAGCACCTGTGTAAGTGAAAGTAAGTGATTTCACTTACACGTGAGCTAGGGTTTGTTTAATGATTGCTGAGCTATATTGGCACTAATCCTCATATGGGCTATAGACTACTGACCATGTAAGTGCAGTGCTGGAAAGTGAGAACTCAGGTATCCGTATCTCATTCCCCGTTATGTAGTAGATATATCATTTCTACTGCTCACTGCAGTTGTTTTAGTTATGGGGGCTTTGAGTTAACTTCAGCAGCCTCCTTTGGTACACCCTTTTCCTAAATGCAGTCCTTAGAGCAGTGATCAACCATGTATGAGGGAGGTTGGGGATGTGCAAGCCGGTGTGTGCTAGGTGGGTAGTGCCTGTACACATGCAGTGTATGTGTGTATGCAATATGATTGTGCATTTTTATTCATCACCAAGCCTGCAGCTCCTAGGTTGCCTGGCTAGGTTACCTAAATCTATCACTCTGTATGGATCTTCCCCTTCCTGCATGGAAGGGATGCTCAGTCACTTCTCTTGCACTGTTCTTCTCATAGCAGCCCTATGGAAGCTTCTAAACAAATAAGAATCCACATTTGGAATCATTCTTCCCCAGTGATGCTGGGGGAAGCAGGGCATTGTGTCTCAGAGCCAGGAGTCTCAGATGGGGCCAGAGCTGATGTGAAGGCACAGAGACAAGGTGGCAGTTTTGCCTTTACCAGGGGTGTCAAACATGCGCTGCATGCAGCCCATAGAGCCCCACCATCTAGCCCAAAGTGCTGCCCCTAGGTCCGATCAGACCCACACTGGACATGGCACATGCCCTTGGAGCATGGGAGGTCTGTGGGCTGGATTGTTATGCAAATAGCATAAATACCAGCTTGATGTTAGGTAAATAACATGGAAATAGATTTTTTGCCTATTGCTCTTAATCTTATGTATTTTCTTGAGTTTTGCATTGCCTTAAGAAACTCCATTTTGTATTGCTCTGTAGCTTGACATAAGTGCTCGACCTTTTACTTTTTTGTATGCTGAATGGGTGAGAGTGTGTTTGTGGAAAAGGAAAACATCAACTGGTGACTGGCTGAAGAATGCAGACTGATAAAAGACCTAACAAATAGAAACTGCCCCAGAACAGCGAGAGAACAACAGCAATCGACCTTCAAGAAATAACACAGTGATAACCTAGCAAAAGCCCAGAGGACTGGGTGAATTGACAAAGCTATAAAAGATAGGGCGAGACGTATCGATTTTGGGTCTTGTTCTGCATGTCATCCTGGAGCACTGGTTTGTCTGATGAGATGGACTGGCAGGAGCCCAGCTCCCGCTCACGATCAACTTGGTTGGCCACTAAGTTGATCCTAGCACCAGTAAAACTGGTAACGTATACCAGCGCAGAACAGAAATTGTGTGTGTGTGTGTGTGTGTGTGTGTGTGTGTGTGTGTGTGTGTGTGTGTGTGTGTGTGTGTGTGTTAAGCGCTTAATCAATAAATGTGGCATCTTGCCTTATCCTTCCTCATCAGGCCTCACTCATGATTTGATCAATTGGCAATCTGTGTAACCGGATCCAGGCCACAGACCTCCTCACCTTACGTCTCCCCCAGTATACCTGATCCAGTGGCTGCTCCAGCCAGTGTGGAACTTACATTGTATGCAGCACAGATCCTGGAGTAGCTGGACCAGGTGTTGCATGCAGTGCAGTCTGGCCAGAGCATCAGTCATACTGCACATGGTGGCTTCCCCGGCTCGAGTATGGCACATAAAGCACCTGCTTTGGATTTGCATCACACACAGTGCTCACTCCAGGTGATCCAGGACCTCTGCTGCAAGTGGTGCTTACAGGTTCCATATGCAGCATGAATCCTGGACTGGCTGGTAGGGCTGCGCGAAGCTTTGGTCCCTGATTTGATTCAGTGGAGACTTGGCCTCATTCAGCAGCCAAATCTGAATTGAATCAGAGGACACTTTAATCTCTCCGAATAGAATCAGAACCCTCCGAATCGATTCAGAGAGATTCAGAAAGATTCAGAGATTTGGACATAGAGACAGCTTTGAATGTTTTTTCTACATACCTCTAGGCAGCAGGGGCTCATGAGTGCTGCGATGCTAGGGCACATGGAGTATCCCACAGAAGCATGGGGGGCTCCCCAGTGTGCTTGGCAGGAGACCTGGATGTGGACCAGAAGCACTTCCAGTCCACTTCTGGGTCTGCTGGGGAGCGCACTGGGCTCCCCACCCCTGCACCTCCTAGTTCAGTGACTGATGCCTCCTGGGTCTGGGGGGGTACCCAGGGTCCCCCTGTGGCCAATAACTGAGCTGAGGAGTCATGGGGGGACCCCCCAGTGCACTCTCCAGCAGACCTGACCGGAAGTACTTCTGGTCCACTTCTGGGTTTGCCGCTGAGCACATGGAGCCCCCGCTCCCCGCACTCCTGTGGGATGCTCTATCTGCCCCAGCATTGCAGTGATCACTAGCTGTGCCTGCTACCTCAAGGTATGTAGAAAAAACTTTTAAAGCTGTGCCTGTGTCTGAGTCACTGATTCTCTGAATCAGCATTGACTTTTCAGATTTGGA